ACAAGATCCAACGTGACTTTTCATCACAGTGTTCAATATAATGCCTTTTACATTGTAGAGCCTCATTATATATTTGAGGTATGGACTCTGAAATAGCAAAAATAAAATTTCATTCAAATACCTCTGTTTAGGTAATCTAGCAAGAAAAAAATGATTTAGGCAGATGATAAGAAGTTGTATGATGGAATAAATACAAAAAGCATCTTGTAGGAATATATGTTTTCCTTAATATATCACAAATGAGATTATTTGAGTGTAATAGTGTATGGTGTTATATTTAATAATGAAGCAAAACAAAATGAACAAAACTAATGATAAAGTAGACAAAACTTTGAAACGATTTCAAATATATGCTATCCCACAAATTCTGTTCTTTTTAATCTATCAAGGCCCAAATCTACCAGGGTTAGTACTGTGAGAAACACCTAGTTGAAAATGTATAGGAGACTGGGAAATACTCAGCCAACATCTAAGAGCAAAGGACTAAAGTTGGGTTGTTTTTTTTTTACAAAAATGGGTCAGGGAATCCACTAATTACTTTCAAGACTTAAGAATTCCCTGAACTGAAGCATTCTGTCAGCAGTCTGTAAAAGAGATTTATTAGTCTGACACTCTCTGATAGCAAAGATGGAGTTGACCATTTATGTTTTCCCATCAGACCAAACACATTATCTAGTGTATATTATACATGCAATAAATGCATTTGGGATGCAATCCAATCTCTTCTTCCTGTTCCAAATGCTCTTCTCACTTTCTGTATGTTTATCTTTCATAGGTGGATGTTTTATGCCAAACTCCTCCATAAAGCTTCCAATCTCTCCTTACGATCTTTATAATCTGAGATACATTCTATTATCCTTAACTGGAAAGGTGATATTAGACATTTGATTAAAATATCTGTTGCATATAGTGAAAACACCAAAGGTTACTGTGTTCTAGCAACTACACTAATTTTATGTGTACACTACACCTAATCCTCACAATAACGCAGTAAGTAGATGTTATTATCACTCCTATACAAATGACACTCAGAAGGTTAAATAAATTGAAAAGATCTAAAAACTCTTACAATGTAAATATTTCTAACTTCAAAAGTCACTATGTTATGGTTGACCAAAGTATAATTTATGGACAGGTTTTCCAGTATTCACACATAGAACATACTTTGCCTCTGTTTATTACTACCAATGCATTGACTAGACTATCAATAATCTTACTATTTCAGAAAAATATGATATATGATACAGTATGAAAGTGAAAGTAAGGATCACTTTATAAGGTATATAAACATCTAATCACTATGTTATACACCTGAGATATAATATAGGTCAACTATGATTGAAACATAAATGAAAAAAATACATATATACACATAAATTAACATTTAGACAATAAATGAGTAAAAGTGATGATATTATCATCTATTAACCCAATCTTCAAAAAGAAGACTATTATTCTTTTCATACTCTTTGACGTTCCAAGTGTTACTTATTATTTTTAAACATCTATCAGAAATGAGATCTACGTCGCCCCAGCCCCCGCTATATTCCTCGCTGCTGCCCCCGTTCTCATCGCTGAACTGCACGGCTTTAACGGCTCCTGTCTGGCCTGCTCTTCTACTTGTCTACTGCCTTCATTGCTTTTGCATGTATTTTTCTAAATGGAAAATTTAACCTGTTGATTTCTTAAAAATATTATTTATGAGTTTCTTTACCTATTAAAAATCCTTAAAACCTTTAGACAGCCTATGATTTTTCTATCCAAAACTCTGGATTTATTTCCCCCTACTATCTTATACTGCTTTACTGAAAATAGCTCTTCCTGACCATGAAAATAGACAAAGAAAAACAATAGGCAAACCCTAAAAATAAACTCTAGGTGTGGAAAACACCTAAAGTGTTTGTTTTACTTGTCTTTCAAAGAATGCAGACAAGATCACCTGAAGATCCCAGCATCACTTTTTTCTCTAACCTGGATTTTAACTCCTATAAAAATAACTTAATACATGTTATAAAAGAACTATATACAAATAGAGTTTTAATTACACATTCAAAGTTGGCTGTTATTATAAAAGTTATGGAGTTATTTTCCAAATTATTTAAGCTTTTTTTAAAAACTCATTTGTAGAGAAAACAATTGGAAGCAATTAGTATTATCTTAAATGTTTATTTTTAAATTTCTGCATATTTAGTGTAGAAGCTTAGGGGAGAAACAGATCAACCATTATCAATATTACAGCCATGCGAGGGAGTCAAATTATTAATTTAAGCTTTCAATTTAGCATAAATAGTAGCAGATGATCTACTCTCAAATTCTATAGTCTTCCATAGATAAAATATAGTATATTTTTTTGTATATGTTGAAATTTGTTCATCTGTGCAATTATTAGAAACGTACAAGAAGCTATTCAAATTAATATGTTTAATGATACAATTAATCTCATGTATTTATATAAATATCTTCTCAAATTGTTGGACATGATTTTATTCTAAGCTATAGAAGCTGAATACTGAAATGCAAGCTACTATATATTTCGACAATAATCAATACATAGTCAATATCAGGTTAATAACAGAATTGTAGGCATTTGATTACTCAATTTGTTTGTTGTGTTTTCAAAACTGTGTTCTGATTGCAGGTTTGATAAGAGGAAAATGACTGAAATTGTTTTCATAGCAATAGGGAAGAGAAACAGAAACGCTAGATAACATACTAACTTCCATTCCTTGCTAACTGACTGTGCTGGCATTTATGCAGTTGTGGTAGGTGGAGCAAATACAACAGACACAATAATTCTACTACCAGGACAGCATTCTGGAGAGCAGCCAGGCTTGGCAGGGAAGCGCATCACATTGCATGTATTCCACTCAAACTTCATTGTGGGAGGAAATTAGAGTTGGAAAATGCATCAGAGTTATATTCACTTTATAGTTGAGAAAAGTTGAGACTCTAAGAAAATCAAGGTTATAGGATTATTTGGGGGTATATCTTAGATATTCTCTCTTTCATACATACTGTAGAACTTTTGTGTGAAATCAAGTTGATCACTAGAGTGTGACCAATAGCCACTGCCTTGAAACATCAATGGAATACCTATATGTCAGATATGAAATTAATTATTTTACAGAGATTTGAACCCCTTTAACAAATCAATAGGGCAGACACTCTCTTCTCTTTATAAATAAGCAAACTGAGGCTAGGAAAGATTAAATAACTTGTCCAAGACCTGTTAATATGTGACAGATGTGGAATTTGAAGTCAGTTCAGTTGGATTCCTAAGACCACGTTTCCTTTTATACTTTCCAGATGATTTCTTTAATGGGAAAGGTTGTTTTGGTTCTGGAAGGACAATTATAGCTTACAATAAAAGGGTGTTTATATTATTGCTAATAATTATATCAGTGTCAATATCCTTGTTAAAGACATTTAAGATATTATAGTAGGCAGCAGCAGTACAAAATGGAGGTTCTAAATTCCCGGGTTACTTATTAAGGGATTGAAGCAACTTACTTGTCTGAATGTAAAGGTTATATACATGAACAGAACTATAGCACAGAATACCAAGTACAAAGATAAGGGAAGCCCAGGGAGCTATGAAAACGTAACTCAGCGTTGAGCCAAGGATCACCTACTGACAGAAAATGTAAAGAGGAAATCCTGCACTCACAGGGTCCTGATAGACCAAGAAAACAGGGAGAACAGCAAATATGCATGCCCTCATTCTCTGTTTTCCTTTGGCTCTTCTCATCTTCTCATGTTCTTTCTGTTCTGTAACTGGAATTGCCACCTACCGAGTCACTGTGTATGCAACAAAGACTGAACAAGGAGGAAAGTCAGGAAGAAACTCATTTTGCTGACCCCAGGAAGAGACAGAACTAACTTTGACATCAGTTTTCATTCAGCCTCTAGCGGAGGTTCAAGTTGTGCAGAAGGTGTGTTTGTTAACTAAGGTGTTCAAGGAATGCCCTTTAATACCCCAACTTCATAAAGGCAACTACTTATTCTGGGGAGTTGCCTCCCAATACCATAAAGCTCATATAGCCCGACTTTGGAGGAGCTAGTAGGATTCCACAAATTTCAAGAATGAGATCAGGAAAGGCCATGATCTGAAAGAGGCTAGTAAAAGTCATTATAGTCAACAAGTTGCCATTTCAGCAGTGCCATATTCCAGGAGAATGTAATATGTAAGATCTCTGAGTCCATCAAGATCATTCTGATATAATCAATTGAAGTATAACACGTTTGGGATGAAATTATAATGTTGTTGTCATTAAAACCATAGGGAACCTTGTGAATAAGAACCTGCTAATGCATATCCAGTATTGTCCAAGGAGACAATATTATGATTTTAGACACTATATATATATATATATATTAATAAGATATATTCCTAGTGTGATGGAAAAATCTATTTAGAGAATCAAAAAAAAATGTGTTATAATTCTCTATACCCAACTGAACTACGGATCTAAAACTTGCTTTACAAAATGGATTTTCCTAGAAGAGAGAGGCAGAGCAACAGCCAGGTTATGTTTTCCCAGAAGAGCACAATTTAATAGCTAAATTTAAAATTTTAGTTATACTTTCCTCACATATTCTAACAGCACTAGTGACCAAATTTTAAAAGTGCTTATCAACTGTATTTAAATGTAATTTTAAACCTCTCATAAATAAATTAATAAAGTTTTCATTAAATACATTATTTTATCAGAGCCCAATTACATTCCACAAAATCAGAAAATTAAATCCAAACATCTATAAAATTAAAGCCCACACCCGGGACATGTTTAAATCCCATGACTGATGTATCAGTTTCTCCATTTGAAACTTTGATTTGAACAAACATCAGTAAATTATAACTTTCTAAGTATTATAGGTAATCCTACATATTACTTAAATATTATTGGTACAGAAGTATAGCTCAGTGATAGAGAAGAGAAATTCATAGCTCACATCAGCATACAGAAAGATAAATATGAATAGAAAAGAAAATATCTTACTTGGTTAAGAATGTCTTGTTTCTGTGCATGCAAGGAAAGAAAGAATACATGTATTAATGTAAGATAATTTATGTTTATTATCTCATTATTACTAATAATTTAACTGAAAGATCAACAGTACAGATTTATTTTAAAACATACTCTAGACCCATGGGTCTCAAAATGTGGTTACAAAGCATCAGCATCAGAGTCAATTGGGAAACTGATAGAAACACAAATTTTTGAGCCCCACCCCCGGAATATAGAAACTAAGGGGAGGGATGAGTGAGTAAGCAAAAATCTGTGTCTTATTAAGAACTCCATGTGATTCTGATGCAAGATAAATTTAAGAATCACGAACTGGATCAATCTTTGCTATAATAAGCAAACAGTTCTAACTGACCTGTGATAAATATAATGAATAACACATATAGTATATTTAAAACTTTCTAGAGGAGATTATGAAATATAACAGCACATATATTCATGATTATTTATTCCCCATTTTTAATTTTTTCTTTTATTAGAATAACATTCCTAACTTCTCTCCATGCCTTAAAGATAAATGTCTTTTCATTCATATGCTACTACTTCATTTCTCCCCATCACTTTAGATATCAATGGAACAGCTTAGAATTAAATTTGAAATCCAGGGCAAAAATAGATAGATAGATAGATAGATAGATAGATAGATAGATAGATAGATAGATAGACAGATAGATAGACAGATAGATAGATTAATGATACATGCATTCAATGCCAAATTTGTTCTTTTTCTTCATCAAATTCTACTGCACTTATAAACGTTTTCCTGACTCTGTTTTACTGAGAACATTCTCACTAAGATTGCATGGACACTACTAAGTAACTGTAATCATACCCTTAACGTTATATTATTTAAATAAGATTCAGTGGAGACTAATAGGCCTGAATTAGTAATAATTATGTGCACTGGAATATGCTACTTATTACACACCAAATGGTCATTCAATGTACTATTATTTCACATACACTGAATGCTTATGTGAGACACCTTCCACTTCCCCTTATTCTTCCCATCTCTCGAGGACTTCCTTCTCCTTCTATAGCTTAATCAATGAAGTAAAGAGGAAAGGGCATCAGTCTTAAATTATGATTTCAGATAATTAGATTTTAATTATAGTTATTGTCATGAAATTAGCAAGTTAATTGTGGGAAAGTCATTTCACTTTTCTTAAAATGAGTTTCTTTATTTAAAAACTCCATAATTGTATTTGGGAATCTCAAGACCTTTTAACACTTTCTGTACTTAGACAATCTTCAAAGCAGTTGTATTGATTTTATATTTCATTATTATTTTATGTATCATTTCAAAGAATGTTATCAATCTTTAAAAGGTAATAATTAAAAATAGATAAATCATCCATATATATTTAATGTCCTCTCTATTAAAATAGATATAAAAGGTCATATTTTCATTGGATTGTTTTTACGTACAGTACTTTTATAATGCAGTAATTCAAGTGAATGATAATAAAAATAATAATTCTAACATATAAGCAGTTTTACTGTGTAAGGGAAGAACTATTTTAGAGATATTTAGGTGGTTCTCTCTCTATAAATACATTTTATACAGATGATAAAAGCCATGTTCATTTTAGACAACAGAGCACTAGTCATTTATTCTAAAGCCAGACTAGATTAATCACTTTTGTACTTTTTCTTGCATAATTGAACATTAAGTATCATCTATGCCAAACAACTTTGAGTTCAATTTGACCAATCAACAGAGAGAGAGAACTTCACATGTGAATTGACAGTATGTATTCTTCACAAATGCTTTATGAATTCTTTCATACGATTAATGTAACATTTTATAAGCTGGATGAAGTCAAAACTAAAAAGAACCTTAGGCCTTAAAGATTTCCTCTTCAACAATGCATATTCCTAATTATTTCCTTATGAAATACATACTAGTGTTTAAAAGTCATATAAACTTTAAAATATTCTCCTGAGGGGAAAAATATGTACTAGCATTAACACTGAAAAGTAGTTTCACTCTTACATTAGAATTATTTTTGGATTATAATGAGATCTAACTTTCTTATTTTTCAACTGTTCATTATTTTAATAATGCATTTCAAGAGCAGCTCCATGCATTTATGAAGAGGTGTTATATTATTGAAAAGGCTGACATCATATGTGTGTCTAATAATTAATCTAGCAATTACTTCAATAAACCCAGTGTACAGTGACTAATAATCCTCATTAAAGATATGATATCAGTAATACTAAGTCTTGTGAGTCCTTTAAATAAGAAACGATTGTAGTATAAAGGATACTATGCAAACAACATCATATTTTAACTGACATTATAGCTAGCAGCTACCTTTAGTGAGAAATAAACTAGTTTCATCTCTGTATATAGATTAGATAATATGCATGTTTTAAAATATGGTTGGTTATGTAAATATTAATGACATTTTGGGGTCTGATATTAATTCAGTAAACTTGACATCTTTAACTTTCCCACTCCCTTTTTGGTCTTTTACATTTTTCTGTTCAACAAATTCATCTACCAGCATGTTTTCTCTTATTCTATAGCATCTAGGAAAAAAGAATGTGAGGAAATGTAGGTCAGATAATTCCTTCTTTCCTGAAAATAGGAAAATGGGAATGGCTTAAAACTGCCTAATATCCCCATACTTTGTAGGTACTAAATAGCAACTTTAAAAAAAAAAAGAAATCTTAGGTTAAACTGTTTTAAAAAGTAATGTATCAGAATTTAGACAGAAGAAAACATGGCATACAAAAGAGCCATGTTTTCAGTTGAAATACTGAAAGAGTATTATAAAACAATATGAAAGCTTTATGGTTGGAATTTAGAGATGGGTTTTGATAAAAATGTTAAGTTCTATAAATCCCAGAGAAGTATAAAATTGAAGGATAACCAATAACTCTGTTCTTCTAAACATTCCAAATCACAATGACAATAATAACAAGACATATTTTAATCAGAAAAATAAAATCTGAATGGCTAGATAATACATCAGACCAAAAAATGGTCTTTTGCTAAGTGTAGCTTGTTTCAACTCACATAAACCCGACTATGACTTGGTGAAGCTGCAAAAGAACTCACAGAAATAATGATCAAACATTTAAAATGTAACATCTCTCAGCTAACATTAAGTGGAAGGTTATTTAACAAATAATTAGACGGGAAAGTCATTCAATCAAACATGGTGTTCCAAAGCAATAGACAGGACATGAAGTTATAATAAGGAAAGAATTTCAGGAACTGGTAATAGGTAAAAACAAGATAGGAGGAAAAAATTCCCCTCTTTTTGTCCAAGCTGACTCTTTAAAGTAATAGATCAGTTATATCCATCACAAAATCTTTCTTCAGTCAAGAGAACAATTCCCTGAAAAGAGTAACTCCCCTGACATATATCAATGTTCATTTGAGGTTTAAATTTCTAGGTCATGCAATTAGAGTAAGGTACCTTTTTTGTCCCCTTCTATCTAATTCTGTTTCCAGATTCAAGGAAAAGGACCAAAAACTGTACTTTAGATTATCTATATTCTTTCATGCACAGGTCATAAAAGTGTTATTTTCATTAGCAAAATAATTTTGGATTACAAAAGGTAGTAAGTACAACATTTAATATAACTCCCAGGATAGCATTTCATTGTAAATTTCATTTTGTTTACATTACAGTATATGGTACATGGCATATATATTTTTAAGAACTATTCATTAAGATATCCCTCCTCCAAGCAAATTTAAAAAAGAAAAAGAAGTTTTACCCCTTCCGGATTATACTTTGCAAGCACACCATTACCATGGAATTCTTCAAGAACATCCTTTAATTTCTTTGTAGAATCTGTAAGAAACAGAAAATACATAACTATTTATACATGCCTATTGTGATTATGAGACCCAATCGAGAAACAAATAAAGACCCCATAAAATATAAATGATCACCAAGAGATATTAACTTTAAAGTGAACATACAAAATATCCTTAAATCATTATTGAATGGCTTTTTAATTGGAAAAGGCAATCACAAAAAAAAACATAAAAAAATATGCTTTGCCCAAGTATATTACCGAAGAATGGCACCGCTGTCTATGTATTGAGTATTATATGAATTGAGGAGCAAATAAATGAATAGGCAGAATGTTTTTTCTTTTATCTTGATAACATAGTATCTACGTGAATGAAATAAGTTTAGTCCTTTTAATTTTTAGAGACATGGGAAAGGAAGGAGAAAGACAGGGAGAGAAACAACGATGTGAAAGAGAAACATTGATCCGGTGCCTCTCATAGGCTGTCAACCAGGGACCTGGCCCATAACCCAGGCATATGCCCTGACCAGGAACTGAACTGGTGACCTTCCAGTTTGTAGGATGACACCCAACCCACTGGAGCCACACCAGTCAGGGCTGAAATAAGTTTAGTTTAAAAAGAAAAAGAAAACAGAGGCATGTGATAAACTTTATAATTTATACAGCGCACTTTTCATGTATTACAACATTAACTAAATAACAACCCTGCTGAATAAACAAGAAAAATAAAATGGGTATCTAGGCCTCAGTGGCAAATCCATCCAGAGGCAAGCTATAGATTTTAGTGTTTTGCAGTTATTTTCAGAGAGAATTTTCTAAATATATATAAAGCTCGACACTAAAGCTTATTTTAATTCAATTAAGAAACAAATTTAGAAACATTACCAGAAGTATTTAAATTTCTCTGCCAATATTTTAAAATAACTTTTTGGACTTTCATCATATTAAGATGGAGACAAAAGAATGTTGGGAAATAATATCATGAAAGAACAAATATTATTAAATTTTAAAAATAATATATAAATATTGTATAAATACATCTATTTAATCTAGTAAAATAATTCTCATAATTATCAAAATATAATTTTTTGGCCAAGCAATAGCAGAATTATAATATATTTAAGGCAGAGGAAAACAATAGTTAACAAATAAGTCATCTAAATACCCAATCATGGTTGAATAACATCAATTGTTTTTAAAAGCTTCAAATTAAAATCTAAAAAATAAGCAGAAGATTCTTAGTTTCTATTAGGGACCAGGGCATAGAAATTGTCTCCTAGAATTTAAATGTAATTCTTCCATCCTTTCTCCATGATTCAGTGATATTTGAACCATCATAAAATATTTCCCAGTTCCAAAAAACTAATTTACAACTGAACTTTTGAAACACTGTGTTAGAAAATTCACTCTTGGACGCCTTGGAGGACATCATGGCCACCTATGTTCAGTGATATGCACTTCCACTTGGGATGTACGATTTTGTTCCTTTATAATTTCAATTCTATGGGGTTTTCTATTTGTGTGACTGTGTTTTTTATTGCAATAAAATGTATATACCACAAATTTACACTTTAACTATTTTAAAGTACAATTCAGCATATTTTTAGTATATTCACAAGGCGTTGCAACCATTACTCTCCAATAAAACCAGTATTCTTGACATGACACAGAAATAGAACCATACAGTTCACTGTGTGATTTGGCTTCTTTCACTTAGTCCACTGTCTTCAAGGTTCAGTTTTCCCCCACTGTCTGAAAGTAGAGTGTTCCTATGACAAATTTCATAAACCAAAATGCCTGTATAGTGAAGAAGCAACTACCATTTATTTAAAAGTGAAAATTCTCTTTGGGTTTTTTTAAGTTAGAGAAGGTAAGCATTAATGTAGGTCTTTTGTAGAAGCAAAATGGCATAAAGAGAACTTTTGAAAAGCATGAGATTCCTGTTCATGTGTATTGGATCATGTATTATTATTTCATCCCTTTTTATAGTTTAAAAAAATAATGCATTTTGTGGATATACCACTTTTCATTTACCTATTCATCATTTGGTATAAGTGAGTTGTTTCCATGTTTTGGCTTTTATGAATGGTATTGCTATGAACATTCAAGTATGCATATTTCCATGCAAAAATCTTTCAATTCCCTTGGGTATATACCTAAGACAATTGCTGTGTCATATGGTGACTCAATGTTTAACATTTTGAGGAACTACCACACAAATTTGCATAGGACTATTCTAATTTACATTCCTACTAGCAATGTATGAGAATTTCAATTTTTCAACATTTTTGTGGACACTTATTTGCTACTTTATTATAGACATCTCAATGGTTATGAATGGTTTTGATTTACATTGATCAGTCATTTGCTAATGGCAAATGGTGTTCAATATCTTTTCATACGCTTATGGCTGTTTGTATATCTTCTTTGGAGAAACATTTGTTCAAGTCTTTTTAACCTTTTTTAAATTAACTTTTTTTTTTAGTTATTGAGATCTTCTGGTGTGTGTGTGTGTGTGTGTGTGTGTGTGTGTGTGTACACATGTGTGCTACAACATGCATGAAACCTGTACAGGTTCCTAGATATTTCTTTTACAGTATATATTTTGCCAGCATTTTCAATTCTGTGACCAGAATTAATACATTATGCCATGTCCTTGGCTCTAGATTACAGGTTGCCCTAGGGAAGAAAACGCACATTTTAATTTTTGCACAGCATCAAAAATTATTCCAAAGCTGAAACAATAGAATTGGAATAAATATTAGGATTTGATTGATCAGAGCTATTCCTACACTGCAAAAATTACAGTAATAGCTTCAATATATATCTTAGGAAAGACGTATACTACTTTAAAGACCAACTTGCATATTTAAAAGAGACACGAAGCTGGCACCCTACGCCCAAATTCTTTGTGAATAATTAGGCACTGCTCTAAGTTAGCAGAATATCTTTTACCTCCTCTTGTTTGCAGAACTAGATTCAGACCATTCTGTACATACTTACAGAAATATACACATACAGAGATACATATAAATTCTAGGATAACATATCCCATGAGACTATATGTATTTTTCTTAGCCCCATGATAAAATTAAAGGGGAAGAAAAATTTTGGTTTCTTATACACTGGCCTTCCACAGAACTGCCTGAAGGTGGATTTTTCATTTCAGGTTTCTATATAAGCAAAAAATACATTCAGTAATCATTTATAAATTCCCAGAGGAAATAACAATCCTAAAAGTTATTCATGTCATTTTTAGTAGTTTATTAGTCATTTATATTGGGATATTCTTAGTGGAGTAACTCCCTGGAATAAATTGATAAGTAACAGTCAAAATATGTGATTGTACGTTCTATGAACTAAATGAGACTCAAGGCTGATCTTGGTCTGAGACAATATAAAGAGTTCTAATTCATATTCAGATGAATCACCATCAACTCATCTTGGCCCTTTTCCAATCTCAATTTATATTTTTAATATGTTGACATCTGAAGTTTACCAATAATCTAGTCCTTCCTTCACAATACAGTTTAGAAATGGGAACATTATCTTGTTCTATTCCTGTTCCAATAGGAATAAACTAGGAATAGGAATACCTGTCTAGGGCTCATTCTCTCTAAGACTGTGGTCTTGTCTTGCCTGGCCAGCATTCTATAGATGGAGATTTTGGTATATAACAACAAGGAGTCCTACATATCCTGCCTGGACCCCATAACCTTTAAATAGAATCTGGTACATGAACTGCTCACATATCTGCTTAGATTTCCCAATTGCATTAGATTGTGAAAATCTTTCTACTGTGTTCTACCTACCTTCAGAGGAGAACACACATTTACTTATTTTATAATTCAGGTGCTTTTTTGGATTTGTTCTTATTCCCTATTACCATAAATATTCCTATCTTTTTAATTATGTCAACTCTAAATCACTTCTGTTCCAAACAACAATGGGGGAGTGGGGAAGAGAAAGAATGCACGACTAGATCTGGTGCAAGACAGATGCTAAGGAAATGACGCCGGGGTGAATAGATAGTAGGTGAGTGAAAGACACAGTCTCAGCCATATTTCAGCTAATATTGGAGCTTCAAGTCCAAGAGCATAGTGACAGATTCTGGGCTGAGCAAGGCTGAGAAATCCAGGCAAGCAGCCAGCCAGCCAGGCAGCTGTAAGCTGGGAGATCAATTCACAGTTAATACATATCTGCAACGGAACAAAGGCTTGGCATCCAAGAAGACTGACAACTGAGGTGCTGGGCAGCTAGTTTAATACTTGGGATAGGGGATCAGTACAAATGCTCCACACAAAATGTTGGATCTCCTAGAAATCAAAGGAGGGACATGATTTGAGGCCAATCTGAAAGCCAGGGCTAATTCTAGAAGCTCTGATGTTTGGCTTGGCTAATAGGGCAGAGGACTTGAAGGAAAACACAGAATACAACTTTTGCTTTTTGACTAGTGTGTTGGTATTACCAGGAAGTAGTTAATAATAATGCCCACAATAGGGAGAATGGGGTTATTTTTTTCATAGACTTACCATTTATCTATTTAAATTTATATTTTATTATATTTTTGCCATTACCATTTATCCCTATTTTATCCCCCTCCCTCTGGGAATCACCACACTGTTGTCCACGAATCTTCTTTCATTTTTGCTCAATCCTCTGCCCCCAAACCAGCCCCCCACCCCAGGAGGAGAGGTCATTTTAGATCGTCTGTTCCATCACCATCAGTATCATCTAAGAACTGAGGTGCTACTGAACCTCAATGTGGTAGTAATTGTGTTAGGCAAACCCCTTTACATGCTGTAACAGATAAAATGTATATGGGGACTCAGAGAATAGGTTTTCTTATGGCTTGTCTTCTCAGCACCTGCTCCAGTGCATTTGTGCTCCTATGAATCCTCATGTTTGGCTGACTCACATTATGTGCATGCCATGAGATTAAACGTGGTACATTTTGGGAATGTACAATTAAAAATGTTCTGGTCTTTTCCATGATTTTCAAAGAAAATTGAATTCCTTTTACATAATTCTAAAA